TTACCGAACTGAGGAGTGACTGTGATGCGACAGCATTTATATGTGCAGGCGGAGCCTAACATCTGCCGTCATCACGTCACCTGCTTAAAGGCGTGATTAGAGGTGGCTTCAGCCAGGACACGCAGGAGCGTGGGTTCCCATACATGATGTTGTACCTCGTTCCTTTCCTTCAGGGAACAGTAGTTATATGCATAACATTACGTTTCACAGTTTGAGAACTCAGTCTTTAATGGATTTTTTCATGCAATCTAACTACTAGTAGTTTGGGGGTAATGTCTGTAAAAACAGAAACAATTTTTCCCTCTCTCTCTCTTTTGTGAGTTTTCAAGCTAAATTATTAAAAACAATACAATTTACTAATTTTGTAACATAAATATTGACATCATTTCAGTTCCATATTAAAATAAAACAGCTCAGTACATGACACATGCCCTGTATACATGTTCCGCAGCATTTCTGCCTTCTAAAGCCGGGTACACACCAAACGCATTTTGAGCAGCCAAAGCAGCCAGTTTACATGCAAAGTCTATGGTGGACGCGCATCTATGAGCAGCGCAATATGTAGCCGCACATTTTTCCTGTTGAGAGAAGCGCGCAACATGCGGCAGAGCATTTTCGCACATGCGGCACGTCCAAAGCAGCGGCTGCTGGAGTTCAACAAATTRAACTTTGGCTGCTCGACGYGCAGCARCAACCAATCAAGAGAGAATAWATTTTTCCACGTGACRGTTTCCTGAACCCAACACAGACGGACAGGAGCTGTTTTAAGCTGAAATCGGCCGCCTGAAGTTGGTGTTCCGGCTGGAAATATGTGGGTCAGCAGCTCGTCCTCGGGACAAGAAAAATAAAATAAAATAAAAAATCTGTCAGCACGCAGCTCCTGGAGTGGCGAAACTAACCGAACAAATCGCCTCTAAATCATCTGGTAAATTAATTATCTGCTGTGCGCAACGTTCGCTTGCTCTTTAGTAAATAAAGCTAAGCCCTTTTATTTATTTTATCTTTATTTCAACCGTCAACAGACTGGAAAACGAACAATGACGCTCCTCCCATTGCGTGTCTTCAGACGCGTTCGGTTTGAACCGACTTCTGTTGACAAGCAGCCAAAAACATGCGTCAGGAACATTTTTGCTGCTCAAGATGCGTTTGGTGGGAACCCGGCTTAACAGTTCACCGCATGGCGTGTATCTGCTGTTTTCCTCTTGTATGTTTTTGTTTGGTTCTTACRGTACGATGCCACCCAAATGTACTGTAGATGTCTTCTGGACCATTTCCAATATTCAAGTCTTTCATAGTTTGTTGGTACTCTAAGGGCCACAGTGTACATTTATAAGGATCCACGATTATTTGTAACATTAGACTTTATTTGATAAACATATATTTTTACTGTAAAATAAAGACTGTAAAAATACTGTAGGCTGTTTAGTCTTAATAATTTTTAAACTAAAAGTTTAAAAATATATTACACGGACGG